CCCCCCCCCCCCCCCCCAAAAAGAGCTCTGCTCAAGTAAGACCAGGAAGGTTTAACAGCAGTGTTTCCTGTGGGGAGGCCTTCCTGGAGAATCAGACTTTCTCTGGGTTTTCAGCCTCACAGAACTAAGTATTTCCAAGATATAGAATATTAATCAAGACACGTTTTTCCTCAACTTTCAGGCACTGATCTCAACTAGCTGGAACTATGCTCCTAACATCATCATTTCTTTCATAAGTATCTTTCTGATGAGAAAAAAGAAAAGGAAATGAAGTTGATACTTCTGTTTGAGTTGCTCCCCATGGTGCGCTGCCTGATAAACTGCAGGCATCTGAGGCCTGGGCTCCCCTGAGCCCACCGGCTCGCACTGACCGCTTCCCAGCAGCAGGGTGAGGAGGAGGGTCCCTGAATCTGGCTCTCCAGACCAAGGGCACAGCCAACGAGGCTTCACACTTCACAGAACAAAGTAAGCTTTCTGCTGTCTTTGAAAGAAAACAATTATTTTTTTCCACATATACTTTTTCCCCAGGGGACTCCTTAAGCCTTTACTTTGTGACAAAAGAAATCTCTCCCTGCTGTGTAATTTGAGGATGGTAACAAGTATCAATACTTACTAACCAAGAACGTACCACATACCAGGCATCTGACATGTCATTTTCTCTACACAACAAATTTATGAGGTGTGTATTGTCCTCCTATTACAGATGAGAAAACTGAGACTTCAACAAGTAATTTGCCCAAGTTTACACACATGTGAAGAAGCAGAATCCATCATTCAAATTCAAGTCGGATGACAAAGGTCATGGCCTATTATATCATGATGCAAAAGTTTTGTAACACATTGCTTATAGATAAAGAAGGAGGGGTGACAGCTACGTCCCTACCTGCAAGGAGCCCAACACTTGGAATGACAGGCCAGTATGACTATTAAGCAAGAGGAACGGGTTCATGAACCACCGAGATCAGTCTCCACACAAACGCATAACTCCACCAAGGTGCTCCCACTGCATTCCCAATGGAATTCCTTCCATGAAGGCTGTGGGAAAGTGAAGCACCCTCTGGCATGCATGCGTGCACACATGTGCATGGCGGTGTGTATACACCCATGTTTGTATTTCAATTCAATAAATATGTTGAATTTATACGTCTGCTGTGTGAAATGAAATTAGAAAAAAGAATCTTAATCTTTCTTTGAAGGGCAGCCAGCCTAATTACATAAGACAACAACATCAGGATAAGCAAATCAACTGATTCAGGTAATAAAAGGTTTGGGTGTTTTTCTGGCAGAAAGTAGTTCTTCTAAACTCTTCTGTAACATTTAATGACTAACATCTGAGGAATTCCCTGGAGGTCCAGTGGTTAGGACTCGGTGCTTTCACTGCTGGGGTCCAGGTTCAATCCTTGGTTGGAGAACTAAGATCCCGTGAGCTGTTCGGTGCAGCCAAAAATAACATGTGGACATCCACCAAGCCTAGCACACTGTAACTAGAAGCTAATCACAGTGAATCTGAGCTCTCCAGAGGTTTATAGTCTATTAGGTAGCAATCAACCAAGCTGTAGATCACTGCAAAATGGGGTGGGTTCTAAAGAAACACATACCATGCGACTCGCCAGAGGACCAGTGCATTTCACAGGTGAGCAAAAGAAAGGTGGCAGTCAAGAAGGACCTTTTCCATAGGCATCCTGCTCCCAACTCTCCAACCACAGCGGTTCTTCACTGCAACCCTTAGAACTCAGATGCATAGTCCTATCCTATCCCTCCCTCCCTATCTATCACTTCTCTAATAATATCTATCTATCTATCTAATCTATCAATCACTTCTCTAATAATTTCTCTGTGTCATCCTCAGTGATTTCCTAATAACAGTTCATTTAATTCTCATAACAACCCTAGCAGTAGGTACTATTATTATCCCCATTTGCCAGATGAGGAAATCAAGTCACAAAAATGTTAAGTAATTTGTCCAAGGTTATAAAGCTCCTAAGTGGCAGAATTAGAATCTGAACCCAAGTTTCCTTGCTCTCCTATCTGCCCCTACACCCAAGATTCATGGAGACAAGAAGGCTTAAACGGGAACTAAAGGTACCATGGAAAAACTAACAGGAAAGGAAGGAAAACACTATGCTCAAATCCTGACTATAAGACTCCTAAGTTGCATGACCTCAGATCATCTCTGCTTCTCCAGGCCTCAAGTTCTTCATGTACAGAATAAGGGCAGCCTCTGCAGGCTCTATGGTTTCCCCAGCTGTACAAACCCGTGGGTTTTACTAGGCAGAAGGTGGGGAGAGACAGAAACTTAGGAAGAGATTCCAGGAACAAGAAACAGTTTCAAAAACATAAAAATGGAAGCAGAGAGCAAGTTCAAGGGATGGAATAATTTCTGCAAAAGACAGTTTCAGGAAGATATTAACTAGGCTACACCTAGATGTTTCGTTTGAGGAGAGACCTGGGTTCAAACCTATTTTGTTACTTCCTAAGCTATGTGGCCTGAGGTAAATGACAACTTCTCTAACACTTTAAAATCTGGAGAGTATCCTAATCTCGTAAGTCAAGAGCTGTAATTTAGAAGACTCCTCTCAAATTCTGTAATACTATCACCCAAAACAACATATACAGGCTCATTTCACTTCCAATCAAACTAGACAGACAGACAGACAGACAGACACAGCAATACATATTTCAGTCAGGATAACTACTGTTGACCCTTTAACAAGATAGGTTTGAACTGCCTGGGTCCACTTAAATGTGGATTTTTTTCTTCAATACTACATATATGTACTACTATATTTACGATCCATGGTTGGCTGAATCTCCGGATGCAGAACTATGGATACAGAGGGCCAACTAAGGGACTTGAGCATCTGCAGATTTTGGTATCCATGGGGGTCTTGGAACCAATCCCCTTGCAGATACTGACAGATGACTGTACTTTAAGAATGTTGTGGTTCTCATTCATGAATCTCACCAGTAATTATAGCATTTCCTATTTATTCAGGATTAAGCTCATTTTTAAATTCCTGACAGTCCTTTGAGGTAGATACAAATAAATGTCAATAAAAACTAAACTTACAGGTTTCACAATTCAATAATGAGAATGTGAATAATGTGGGATCCAAATTGAATTCTACCTTCAAAACTTAAACACATTCTGTCTTAGAGGAGATATTAAACTAACCTACAATAATGACATCTACTGCCCCACCCATCCAAACAGTTATTCTTTCTTACTCGTCTCCTCCCCCAAGCCTGTGCAGCAGTGTCTGAGACACCTGAGAGCTTGAGCCAGAAAGCGAGTCACACCATTGCTAAAAGTCAACATCATCGCTGCTCTGTAAAATCACCTCCTGTATATACACAGGGTCCAGGCCATAGTCCAGATCTTCAACTTCATCTCACACTCTCCTGCACAGGTGTGCGCGTGCACACACACACACACACACACACACGCACACACAGCCAAAAGCCATGGTGAAGCAATACCACCTTAACTCAAAACTGGAAAGTGCAGACGTAACACATCTGCACAGAAATCTATCTGAAATTGCAAAAATGACTTTACTTGGCTAGGACGGGGTGGGGAAAACAAAGAGGGAGAAATAGAAGGTGGTTTAGGGGTGTGTATGTCTGTGCACATGTGCGCACGCCTGTGTGTGCACATGTGCTTAGCAGCATAAGCACTCATAATTCTTTCTGCTGCTTTAGCAGAATCTCTTAGAAGGTGGATGGGTGGATGGGCAAACTATCGTCTGCTCTATTTATGTAGAACTAAAACAAAACCGTGTATTAGAGAAGGTAGAATGTCAGCAAAGGCCATGAAATAGATAT